CAGACCCTGCTTTCGGGCTTCTTCACCTGAGCCCGGCTGCCGGGTGCGAGGCCCCGGGGACGGGTTGGCTCAGGCGTGCACCGGGAAAACGGCATCAGTGGAGCGCCTCTGCTCAGACGGCGCAGGGGCTGTCCGTGGGCCCGGGAGCTGCGCCTCAACAGACACCCAGGGCAAATCCAGGTCCCGAAACTCGTGCGTCGCACTTGTCGTTTTTCCAGGAAAGCTTCAAGGCTTTTCACCCTCTCAGTCAGCCCGCAGAGGTAACGTTAGCAGGCCAGCAGTTTGCCTTTCCTTTTGATTTTTGAGTAACGGCAAGAGCAAGAAGCGCGTTTGCAGACATACGGATGCGCAGGGCTGGGCCTGCCGGGAGAGAGCTGGCAAGCTCTGAACACGCACGAAAGGTGTTCAGGGCGGCAGTCCCCGGAGAAGCGGTCCACGCAGCAACGCTCACCTGAAAGGACTGATAAAGACTTGCTGATTTAACTGCTACCCACCACAAAGCAGCTGAGCTCTGTCCATCCCCCAGCACCGTGCTATCAGAGGAGCTATTGTACAGTTCCTGAGCGTGCCCCGCGGCCCTGTCACAGGCCTGATTTGCGACGGGTTAGATCTAGTAACCACACCAGGTAGAGAGGAAGGGCTGCCAAGCCTGTTGATTCCCCTTCTATGCTGGCAAACTAATTCTACTTCTGGGATGGCTATAAAGCTGACACATTTGGAGGAGTGCACTCTGGTAGTAACGTTCACGGAGTTCAAGCAGAGGAATCCATGAAGCGTCGTGATTTACAGAAAGCTTTGGGAGAGAGCGGGGGAACTAGGATTCCTCAGCGCTGCACGGATGTGAACGGAGGTACGTGCGTCAGCGCGTTGCCGTCACGGTGTTCCTAGCACCCCGAGGACGGTGAAGCATATCTGCCGCTTCACCGGAACGGGAAAACTCCAAGCATCAGAGAAGGAGCTGCCGAGTTCGGCATTACAAGAACAGCTCTGAAGCTCTGAAGGCAGTGGCGCACAGCCTGAGCGCACGTGATGCAGGCAGGGCCGAGGGATTACGTGCTGTTGAAGTGCAGCTTTATAAAGACTGCGCTGCAGGGCCTCTCTCCCCCACTTCAGCGTTGATCTACAGTCCTGGCTTGGGTACTGTGACTGGTTACCGCTAACACAGGGACTTCTGACAGCTGCCTTTCCCCTTCCCACCTCCCCACGAAGGAAAGGCTTAAAAAAAGCAGCAATGGTGACAAAGCTGTAAGAGCCTTCATTAAGCATTTCCTTAGCACCGTTCAGCTGCCAGCCACGGAGATGTGACCTTGCTGGGGTCTGGGAAGCCCTGTGGGCCAAGGGAGAGAGACTCCGCTGGCTGACATGGCAGGTCACACACTGGGCTGCCAGCTGGAGCAGGCCAGGCAGCAGGGTGGCAGGGCTGGAGCACCAATCCCGGGGGATGTTTGCCATCTAGTGGCTTTGTGAGACCAGCTCTAGCGTGAGCCTCTCCTTCTGCCTTCTCCCAGGGCTGCAGCCTTGTGTACAATCCTTATTTCTCCCCCCTTGCCTTTTCCCCAAGATCTAAAAGGAAGGTGAAGCAGGGTCAGACAAGAGAGCTGGATTGTTCTGGAAAAGTGAGTCAGCTCCGACTTGATTCCATTCTGTCTGGGCCAGCCTCCAGAAAAATCAAGAATTGAAATAAAGCAGAGCAAATTTGCACATAGGAAGCAAGGGCTTTCCCCAAAACACCAGAGCCCAAGGCTCACTTTTTTTTGCTCAGGGAAGGGGTTCAAAACATTTTACAGTGCTGCATTGTGAGAAACCTGGGAAAAGCCCTTAAGCCATGAGGGGAATCCATTCTCCAGGAAGCTTTTGCCTTTCACAGTGTCTTTAAAGCCAGGGCTTGTAAAGAAACTGCTAGAGAGGTTTCCCTCGGCACCTCCTACCTACCCCCACCTCAGCTGAACTTGGAGACTGCTGTCCTGAAGCTACAGGAGCCTGGACGAGGAACCAAACATATGGGAGACTGCTGTGGGCCAAGTTTCATCTGCACAAGTTACAGCAAGGGGATACCAAGACCACGGTGGAGTTCTACATGTTTCGTACTGGTTGCATGAGGAACAAGGTGGGAAACGTTACTTGTCAGAGCTGTAGCCACCTCTGCTGTTCAAGCAGGAGCATGGTAGAGATGTTTTGCACCTCTGCAAGATCAGGTAACGTGATAAAGCATGCGTCAGGGTTGCAGCTCACTCTTCTCATGGCATGGCACAGAGGCTGGCTATGGGTTCAGTGAGGGGAGGGAAGGAAGGAACAAACACCACAGCATTTTATTTCAGGGCACTGTTAGTGTAAAGAGAACAGCACTACAAGTAAGCCTTTGCTTTTACCGTCTGATTTTTGCTGAAGGCAATCTTTATGCAGCAGGGGTAAAGTTACATCCCTCCCTTGAAGCTGGATGCCACTAGTTCCTTTTATTCCCTTCTGCTTTACACACTGCAGCCAAAGCACAGATATTGATTGGCCTCTTCCCTGCAAAGCACAGTGGTATCAGGAGAAAGGAACCGTCGTCTTGGTTTCAATTTTTTCCCTTGCAAGCCTTACACCTGGCAGCCTTCATGAACTGCTGCTAGTTGGCCTAGCAAGGTAATTAGCAAAACAAGATAAAGCAGTGGGCTGTTGGAGTGGTGGGGCTACGGTCTTCCTCAGAGTATGTTTCAGACCCTTTACAGTGTCTTACTGGGAATGCAGCAGTAACTCAGAGGTTGTGACAGAAGAAGCAGTTCCTTCATCCAGGGCATAATGCAAAGGTGGGAGGTAAAAGAAAGCAGAGGTTTCTTTCTGAGCCTAACCTGGCCCTGAGTTAGAGGAGGCAGCAAGGGCTTCTGTCAGTGAGAAGCAAAGATGCCATGGAATCCATAAGGCATTTGCACTGGGACTTCTGCTCGCCCCAATTCTTTAAAGGTCTCTGCATCCAAGACAAGCAGGAAAGTGCTTCGGTTCTGCAGGATAAAAAGAGAGCCAGAATGAATGGCCAGGCTGAACTTCACTCCACTACCCAGCCTGCTACATTTGCCCCACACAAGGGAGGCCCAATGTACAACCAGTCCATCACACCTACAGCCAGACCTTACAAGCTAAGACGGGTAGCCAGGAGCACTGCTAGTCACAGATGCCACCCAAGAAATACTGATAGTCCGAGGTACACTCCTATTCGAGGTTTGCTCAGCTCTGCTTGACGGTTGCGGAGGTACGTGCCTTGAGAAGCGCGGTGCTAGAATCACCTGCCAGAGCACCTCAAATGCAATTTTATGGTTTAGCAAACATACCTAGTACTATGTGGCTTTGATGAACTAGTAGGAATACATTACCTCGATGGGGGAGACCACAACAGACAAGATGACCCCACTGTCTTCTGCCGTGGCATTAGGCACTGGCACAAACACAGGCTCTGATGGGTAGGATCCATCCTCCTGCCAAATCTAGCAAGCACAGTAACACATGGAGACATTCATATTCGGCTACTACAGTTAACAGAGTTCCAAATTAGAGGCCTCCCTGCAAAGCTACCCAGGCATGCAGGAAAGCTGCGTGCCCCAAGAAACCTGTAGCTGACCTGATCAGTCATTAGTTTGATTTCAGTAATATGTCAATGCCAGTGTTGTGACAGCATGCCCATTATGCCAGGCACCTTGCAAACAGCAAGGTGAAAAGGGGTCCTGTTGCTCACTTCATCCAACAGTTTGTGTCAGCACAGGTATCAGGAGGGGGGGAAAAAAAAAAAAATCCTGGATGGCACAGCCAGCTTTACACCATGCTAGGGTAGACCAGGCTGTGCCCAGGCAGCCTGGAGGGAGAGGTGCCATGCCAGCAGAGAAGAGATCTATGGCCATCACCACCTGACAGCATTGCTGCTGCTCTTACTGCAGACAGCCATGGCACCAACCACGGTGCTGAAGGAGGGCAAATGCTTACTGCCAACTCTTACTGCAAAATGAGTATTCACGAGCAGAACTCTTGAAACAACGGTGTCTCTTTCTGATGATTCCTAACTCTTTCTGGTCCCTGGGAAAGTCTCTGCATAGTAAGCGCTTAAAGGTTCAGAGGTCAATACTCCCCACTTAAGGGAGGTACAACATAAATCCCAGGTTGTGTTTGTAGGTGGGAATATCCTGGACCTGGTTTCTTGCCCGAGTCATAAATACCCTGGCAACTCACCTCCAACTGCCTGTACTACCTAGCTATTTTTTGTGTTATCATTCAGATAAGATATGACTCTTCTTTAGCCTGGAAAACATGTACGTACATTATCCAGCCCTTTCCATTCCCTTCTCTATCCAGGGAATTGGAATGATGTACTCTCCTGTTTAGTGAGTGTGCCACATTCACAAGGCACTAGGTGAGAGATGAAGCTAGGGACCTAATCTTAGACCCATTTGAAAGAAACCCCTGAAAGAGCAAAGTGCCTAGTAGATGACAGATCTTAGAGAGCAGCTCAGTAGAATAACTTCCAGCTCTTAAAGAAGACAGTCCTGCTTCGTCTCACCTTGAATGTCTTGGTCTCCACATCAACCTTCATCAAGGAATCTCCAACCAAATGCCGAAAGCCACATCCATAGAAGAATCGATACTTCCTACCGTTGTACCGCATGTAGTTAATCTGAGGGAACTCTAAGCCCCCAACGTTTTCAAAGCCCTCAGGGTGGAGATTTTCATGTGTGCACCAGACCTAGAGGGAGTAGGCATTACAGGAGAGTCAGTTTAGGTTTGGAGAGGAGCTGACCAGTCCCACTAACCCACTGCACAGCCATTGTGGAGACAAGATGTCTGAGGCTGAGCCAAACTATACACTAAGGCAGCTGGAAGGGACAGTTCTGTCTCCCTTGCTGTTTCACCCAAAGAAGTGATTCATCATAGACTTCCGGAAATTTAAAGGCTTAGTCTAATGGGAAAAAATTGAAACACAAGCAAATCCACGTATCAGCAACTGATGTACAAACTACACACTGAGATTACTCCACCAATAGCGGCTATCTATACAGAGAGCACGTGTTCTATACCATCCACAGCCACGCTATAAGACTGTTCAGAGGCAGAAGCAAAGAACAGTTCTGTACCTGAAAGCATAGGGATTTTGTGAATGAGGAAGCTGAAGTCTGGCCAGTTATCGCAAAGGTTAATAACCCACTTGGGCATTTTTGGTAAGTCACGATCTGTCCTTGCTCTCTCATTTAAGGGAAGATGGTATGCTTTATACTAAGTCACTAATTCCCAGCTAAGCAATAACCAAGCCTAGCTTAGTTGGTGGACAAGGTCTGAAGAGATAATAGCACAGGACGATGCTGCTAAAGGCAATCTCACTGCAGCCATAAGTGCAGTTATGTAAGACTGGAATATACCCACCTTACCATCTGCATCTTTCACAGCTCTTGCTGATGTATAAGACAAAGGGTTCAGATTCTTCCCCACAGGCGTGTCTGAATTCACACTGAGTGGGAGAACAAAGCGACGAGGGAAAGCTCGGGGTATTGAATTATAAACCTATTAGAGAGGGAGAAAGTTATGGGGATGGAGAGAGAAGGCAGTGGTCTCTCTAAGTGCCCTTTTGAGATAGTCTTGAAGTTTCCCCTCCCTCCCACTTCTCAAATACCTTTCTTTCTATTACATGTTTTACCAAGTTCTTGTAAGGGCTCCCCTTCTCACTGCATTGCAGCAGAACACAAAAGGCTCTCAATAAACAGGTCAGCATTACTTTCACAGTAATCATCGCTGACTTGGGTCTGGAAATCACTCAGTTGTCCTCCAAATCCAACATTTTATTTAGTTAGGACAGACTAAGTGAGCCTTTTCATGGCCGGACCGCACGTGCCCCACTGGCTGTGCGACTTGGGCCCTTCTTGCCCAACCAAGAGCATGAGCTAATAGGGAGATTACAGAAAATGGGACCTCGGTAACACTGAGCAAGCAGAGAGCGTCCCCCTGCTGGAAACTCAACTCCTAGAACCCCGTTGCTGATCAGTGGCAGTCCCACTTTGGAAGTCTGAGGCTGAGCAAAGCACATGAAGAACAATGAATCATGCAGGGAAGAAATGCTTGGTAGGCATATGAGCGGCATGCTCCACTCCAGTAGTTACAAAACTTTAGCAGAAAGACTGCTTGATTACAGACAGTTTCAGAGGCCCACGTGAGGCGACAGCACAGGGACACCAACCATAATGCTTGCTGTTACTCTGCAAGGAACAGCATAGGCTCTCTGAAGTGAATGGAGGAGGGCCTTCTCCAGAGGATGGCTGCAAGCATCTCACTAAATGCTCTGCATCCGTTTCTGGAGGCCCTCCCTCTCCAATGGAGGATAAAGGAACAGAAGGAGACCGCAGCACGTCAGCTCAGTGTCCGAGGTGTGCCTGCATCATGACTCCCTTCTCTTCTCAGGTCCCCACCAGCCCTACATACAACTTTTAGGAAGTTTACAG